CGCGTCTTTGGATTAGCCGGCGTGTTGACAGGCCCCATACGAGGCCGGGTGCGTCCCGTCGTATGAGGGGTGATATTGTGTTTGTGTTTGTTGGGTTGTGTTTGATAAATATTTGAATGTATGTAATTGTGTGGTGTTAATGGTTTATTTGATATTAGGAGCCAGGATAGTTAGGAAAGAGCTACGTGTGGCTTGATCCCTTAGTAGGGTACGTAGGCAGCCTGAAGTTACTAGGTGCAGCCACAGATTAGACCCCACTTAGGTGGTCTTATTGGGATTGGTTTGGACCTCGTTGTTGGTCCCAAAACTTGGTTGAATTGAGGCTTGTCCTGGGGACTAAGTGAGTGAAGGTGCGCGTGAGTAGATTTTGAAGTTGTTATATGCATGTTTGATGCATTAAGTTATTTTAAGAACTTTGTGGGCAGTCTTGCTAGAATCATTTGAAGGCCGGAGGCCATTTATGTAAATTTCATGAGCTTATATTGTGCATGCTGCCAGTTGGGTTATAAAATGCGTTCCTTGCAGGTGGAAATTTTGGGGAATGTTCAATTTATAGGGGAGACTCTGCCGAAATTTCGGCAGAAAGTCTCGTGCCCTTAATCCTCTATGGCAAATGAGGACGTAGATTTAAGGAGTGAACCCGGCATGGGGGTGATGCCGGGGTCTCCGCAGGGTTCGCCCCGGGTTCTGGGAAATTCGGGACGGGTCCTGTCAAGAAGTCTTATCAACACGGATCAAGTGCAAGCAATTCTCGGCCCACAAACATGGGAAGAGGTGTCGTTAGTCGCTGAGATTGGAAGTAAGAGTCACATTCCTATTATGTCTTTAGCTGATGCAACTCCAGAGTGGGCAACAGAATTGTGCACCTTTCTAGTTCAAGCTTCACCAAACAAGTTAAAGCAAATGGAAGCAATAGCAGCTATAGTTCAAAGGTGGGAGTGGCATCAAGTCACCATAATCTATGAAGACAGAGACTTTTCAGCTCCAGCAGTGCTAAGCCATCTATCTAATGCTCTCAAAGAAGCAGATGCAGAAATCAGCCATTATGTAGCTATCGAGCCTTTTGCTTCTTCATTGCGGTCAGAGGAGCTTGAGGGACTCAAGATCAGCCAAAATAGAGTGTTTGTAGTCCACTTGTCCTTGCCATTGGCAGTTGAGCTATTTGAGAAGGCAAAAATAATGAACATGATGGAAAAGGATTACGTGTGGATCATTACGGATCCTTTTGCAAGCCTTGTCCATTCCTTCAATGCCTCTATCATCTCCTCAATGCAAGGAATTGTTGGAGTAAAGAGCTACATCCCTGAAAATGAGTCCCGTTTTCAGGATTTTCGTCATAAATTTCGCCAGCGGTTTAGCTCCAAGCATCCTGAAGTGGTCAACCATGAACCCAGCATTTTTGCAGCAGAGGCTTATGATGTAGCATGGACAGCGGCCCTTGCAATGAGCAAGAAGAAGCAGGGAAGGCAGCAAATTAAATCAAACATTTTGCAAAGTGATTTTGATGGCTTAAGCGGGAAGATTAATTTTACTGGTCAAACAATAGCTCCAGCACATACATATCAGATCATCAATGTGAATGGAGAGAGCTACAAAGAACTTGGTTTCTGGTCAGATGGACGAGGTTTCTCAGAGACAATTGGTGAAAGTGATACATTTAAATATTCCATGAACGCTTTGGGGCAAGTTTTTTGGCCAGGGGGGATTCGGGGTACGCCGAAAGGATGGAGTCCACCAACAAGTGCCAATCCACTGAAAATTGGTGTTCCAACCAGAGCAACATTCAAACAATATGTGGAAGTGGAACAAGGTCACTTGGGAAATAACATCTCTTTCTCTTATAGAGGACTTGCAATTGATGTCTTTAATGCCACTCTACAAGAATTGCCATTTCATTTGCCATACAAATTTCTTCCCTTCAATGGCACATTTGATGCTTTAGTGGAGCAAATTCATTTAAAGGTAAGAGGTTGATTGCAGGATTATATACATTGTCCAACAACTTCCAAGAACTGATACAAATCACAATATTTTTTTTTTTCCAATTTTCAATGGATTAATGCAGAACTTTGACGCCGCAGTTGGTAGTATATCGATACTAGCCAACCGATATCAGCATGCAGAATTCACAGCGCCTTACACTGAATCCGGACTGGTAATGATAGTACCCGTTCGTTCAAGAACACGAGAGAAAGCATGGTTATTCATAAAGCCTTTCACAAACGCCATGTGGGTTTTAATAGGAGCCACAAGTATCTACAATGGCTTTGTTATATGGTTGATAGAGAGAAACCACTGCCCTGAACTCAAAGGCTCCATCTCAAATCAAGTAGGAACCTTGATTTGGTTAGCCTTCAGCACTCTTTTCTCCTTGAATAGTAAGAATAAAAATAATTTGCTTCATTCATAGAATTCCTTCACAAGCTTTAACTTCGAAACTCATCTAAAAACATCAACTAATTATCTATCTTTCACTGATTGAACAAAGGGAACAAGTTGAATAGCAATCTGTCACGGATCACAATGGTCGTGTGGCTGTTCATGGCTCTAGTTATCACACAGACTTACACTGCTAAGCTCGCCAGCTTGCTGACTCTACCACAGCTTGAACCAACTGTGGTTGATGTTTTTGCATTGCAAAACAGAAATGCAACAGTTGGTTGTGCCGGAGCATCTTATATTTCGAAATATCTGGAGGAAGTTTTGCACTTCCGTCACAACAACATCAAGAACTTCTCCAGGGGTGATGAGTACGCTCCAGCCCTCAGAAGAAGAGAAGTTGCAGCCCTCTTTCTTGACCTTCCTTTGGCCAAAGTGTTCCTTGCAGAAAACTGCAAAAGCTTCACTATGACTGGACCTACATACAGTGTTGGGGGATTTGGATTTGTAAATTTTCTACCTTATTCTAACGAAGCTTTTCTCATTTGGGCAACTACATTGCTGCAACAAAATGCATGGTGGGATTTAATCATTTAATCAAAATTTTCTTGCTTGTTCTGCAGGCATTTCCAAGGGGATCTCAGTTGCTTCCTAGTGTAACTCAAGCAATGCTGAAGGCATCTGAAGACGGAATGCTACAAGACTTGGAACAAAAAATGCTTGCGTCTCAGAAGTGCACGGACATGGATCAGGAGGAGGATGAACATCTTAGTCCTAGTCTCAGCCCCAGTTATTTCTGGGTGTTGTTCGTTTTCACAGGAGGCACATCCTCCATTGCTCTTGCCATCTACATCTTTCGTGCTTATAATTCCATGTCCATGTCTGAACACAGTGTTATCCAGAAGTTGATGATGGCTGTAATGAAACACCGGGGGAATCAAGGGGGGCGGTTCTCAAGAAAAGTGAGTGATATTGCTCAAACTACTCCTACAAATTCTCCAAATGTAACTAAGTACTGATCTTCAATCTGGTCAAATGTAGTCATTGTACATAGAGGCCATTGCCATGAAATTAATTAAGGTTACCCGTTAATTGATGAAACTGTTTATTCGTTTTTCTGTTGTACCTGTAGCAGTTAAGTAAAGTTCCCAATTGACCTAAAAACCATTTGTAGTCAGTAAGTCAACTTTCTTTTATGTTAGAGTGTGCCACTGCTAACGGTTAAAAACCCTAACAAATTTGAAAGATGTAATAACTTGTGCCCCATTGACTTTGATCAAGTGATTGTGAATTTGGGTGAGTAATATCTCCCAAGTAAGTTCTTTTCCTACCTAGGTGAGGACTTTATAATTTCTCTCAATAAAACTGGGAAGTTAAGCAAAATACACGTGTTTGGAAAATAAGACACACAAGTTCAAGCAGAACTGACTGAACTATAAAGTATAATAAAAATTGCCAATTCTTGAAAGGTCTCAGAGACTTGAACTTTCATTTCCTATAGGAATCACCTTGCATAATTGACTTCTGGTCAAGCTTGACTAAACTTCTAGCTTATGGATTGAGTTTTCTTGTACTGGAATTGCACGTCAGTACGTTCAACTAATGAAGATTAGTTGGAAATCGATACCAATGATTGTATTGGCAGAGCTATAATCAGGTTGAGCCATAAAGAGGCTTGGAAAATGGGCAGAACTGTGAGTTTGCACCTATTCTGCTTGTCTTGAGGATTGTTTGTATGAGATTAAGACAACATGATGTCTTTGTCTGGATTGGATTGAGATTTTTCCAAACTGGACTAGATTGAAAGAGTTGGATTTAGGGTTTAGGGTTCAGGATTTGGATTAAAGCAAAACCCGTTTTTACCTTTCTAGCTTCAAGGTTATTAATTTGGTTTTGAGTTAGTCACCAAAAGTATGGTGATAAATTCCTCTAAGCTCAAAATATTGTGAACTGGGTAAATATTAAACCAATCTTAGGTCTTGGATTAAATCACAATTGGTGGTCATTAACTTCCAATTTATCAAAATTTCTTTGGATAATTGGTTTAATTTTAGGGAGTTTCACTAAAACACCCAAAATGGAGGTTGAAATTATAAAAAAACCCAACACCCAAAACACTTTATAAACACACCCAAAACTCATCATTACACACACTCAAAACCCATTTATAAACACACCCAAAAAGTTGACTTTGGGGTTAATTTTGGGTGTGTTTCTATGTTTAAATAGTGCTTGGGTTTTTTTATAAATACATGTCTAGGATTGGGTTTATTTATAAATTTGTATTAATTTTACCCAACCTGTCTTTGAATGATATGGGTTATTCTCCATTTTTGGCAAATAAAACCCATACATTGTTTGTAAAGAAAGTCCAATAGCCAATTGGACTGGCACGCAGAATTTAGGCCCAAACCGAAACTACTCCAAATTCTCCCAATGCAACTGGTAATCCGGTTAAGTCTAGTCATTGTACATAGAGGCCATTGCCAATAAATTAACTGCCGCTAACCAGTGTAATTTAATACGCCTTAATTATCTATTCGATTTACCGTGCAGTGTAATTTCATGATTGGAACATTTCATCTTTTAATTAAATAACATAAACAAATGGCATATCAAATTATTAGACACAAGGGAAAAAAAGGCGCAGAGAAGGATACAATAATCAGACTCAGACATGACCACTCCTATACCGGACAAAATCTTCTCCAAAGACTCTTGGTGCATTTGATGGTGGCTTGACAAGTCAAAGGCATGAGATTAGTCCTAGTACCCAAAAAAAAATAAAAAAAACTCTTAACTCATATCAACTTCTATTTATTCATATTTAAGAAAATACATTAAGAAATTAGGAATATGGCAAAACATTTCTTCAAAGCATAATGTCAAGATTTCTCTACTTGCAAGAACTGATGACTTGGAACAATTCAAAGACCAACACGTACGTATAGACCCCTCTTTTCTAAACTTTCACTTTAGACCATTATTTTGTAATGTAATAATCTTTTCTTCTTCATAAAGTTTCAATCCAAATAACACGAACTTGAATGCCAAGGCAACGCTACTTGTTCAAACGTGAAAAAGATATTTCCAAAATCAACATGTCTAAGTAGGAATTATATTTTATCTACTTGACTGCTTAAATATGTATAGATCTTACTAGGAAATTGATCAAGTGGTCATTCTAGGTTCCACCCTACTATGTATAATTGATGTTTACTTGCTTGGAATTTAAGCAACCGATTTACTGTTAATTCACAATAACTATAACTTAAAACATGACCCAAGTTCGAATCACCTCTTTTTGTTGATTAAACAAAATGATAATTCACGGTGTTACTCAAAATATGAATATTGGATAACCACCACTTGAAAGATACATTTTTTTGTTTTATTTACTTTTCGGGTTTTCAATTCAAATGGTCCTATAACTTGTACACGAATTGTATTTTGGTCTATTAACTAAATTATTCGTTCAAATGGTCCGTTTACTTTTTATTATTCGGCAAATTTGTCTCACCGTTACATTCTACCAATGTTGACGTCAAATTTAAGGGTAAAACCATCCA